GGGCCTGATGGCTGATTCGAGACATGGTGGGCGGTCGCTTCCTTACATGTACTCCTACCACACGGATGACCAGAAGAATCGTTCCATGTTGAGAATTGGTGAATCTGCTTGGAGCAAGCCTCAGAGTTTTGAAGCTATTGGGAGCACGTTCGAGGTCGTTCTTCCTGACAGGCATGGTAGATCCGAGATCCATTCAGGTGTGTCTGTCGCCGAGGGCGACGGAAAATACAAACTGACAAAGGTCGTGACCATTGCACCGCGCTTCATTCTGAAGAATAAGCTAAACGAGGATATCCTGGTCCGGGAGCCTGGCTCGTCAAATGTCCTACAAATAAAGAGTGGTGAACTGACACCCCTACACTTCTTACGCCAAGTTGTGGACAAGCAGCTGTGCCTCTGCTTCCCGGGGGTAAACAATCAATGGTCATCGCCCTTCAACATTGCCGATATTGGAACCGTACATGTCAAACTTGCCAAAGCTAATCAACGCCAGAGACTCATCAAGGTTGATATTATCATGGAGGGTGCAACTCTCTTCATCCACTTCAGTTTTGAGCCCCGCAACTGGCCTTTCTCAATGCGAAACGAGAGTGACATGGAATTCATCTTCTTCCAGGCTGTGAGTACACTTTGTCCACCTCAAAACATGCATCGCTAACGCAACGCAGAACCCGAACCTTGAAGACGACGAGGAAGACAGGTCCAATGGCTGGCGACCCATTCGCTACCGCCTTCCTCCTCGGAGCATCATGCCCTATGCCTGGGATTATCCAGCCACCAAGAACAAGTCCCTTGTCTTAACATGCAAAGGCAAGGAAAGGCACATCAAGCTTGCTGAGATTGGAAACTTGATACCAATGAGAATTCCTCCAACCCAATATGGAGAGACTCAGAAGATCATTGATATCAACATTGTTGCAAATGGTCCAACCCAGACTTTGGTCTTGTCGAACTTCAAGGCATCGAAGAGTATTTACAAGCAAAAGGGACAAGCCTCGCAGAGCAGCTTGAGCACTGGCTTCGAAGTGAAAGAGCTTGATTCGGATGTCAACTTCAAAGCCCAGCTCCGGCTTGGAGGCATTGGCATCTCGTTGATCAACCAAAACTTGAGGGAGCTGCTCTATCTGACATTCCGCGACATCGAAATCAAATTCAGAGAATCAAGAGTTTACCAGACTCTGAACACCACAATCAAGTGGATTCAAATCGACAATCAGCTGTACGGAGGCATCTTTCCCATTTTGCTGTATCCCAGTGTGGTTCCAAAGACTGGAAAGGAGATGGAAGCACATCCAATCTTCCATGCTATGGCTACCCGCGTCAAGGACGACTCTTATGGTGTTCTCTATATCAAATATGCCACAGTTCTTCTGCAGCAGATGACCTTGGAGCTTGATGAAGATTTCATTGCCGCGATGCTCGACTTTGTTAAGGTGCCTGGTGCTTCATGGTCTGAGCCGCACGAAGGAAAACTCTGCGATGAGGACTTGAACATTCCAGAGCCGCAGAATGAAGGTGCCGCTCAGGACGTGTATTTTGAACTTCTTCATCTGCAACCTATGCAGATTGACATCTCTTTCATGCGTACAGAGCGCGTGAATGCGGAAGATGCTCTGCAACCGTCCAACCCGCTGATGTTCTTCGTTCACGTCATGACAATGTCAATGGGCAATGTCAACGATGCTCCGGTACGTCTGAATGCATTGATGCTGGAGAATGCGCGCGTCTCCTTTGGAGTGCTTGTCGGCAACGTCCAGAGACACTACACGCAAGAGTTCCTTCGCCAAGTACATGTGGTCCTCGGCTCTGCAGATTTCTTGGGCAACCCTGTTGGACTGTTCAATACTGTCAGCTCTGGTGTGGCAGATATCTTCTACGAACCATACCAGGGTCTGGTCATGACTGATAGACCCCAGGAGTTGGGTTACGGTATCGCAAAGGGTGCCACCAGCTTTGTGAAGAAATCCGTCTTTGGATTTTCTGACAGTATGGCCAAGCTTACTGGAAGTATGTCCAAGGGTTTGGCTGCTGCTACATTGGATAAAGAATTCCAAGACCAGCGGCGGATGTCCAAGTCTCGGAACCGGCCCAAGCACGCCTTATATGGCATCACAGCAGGCGGTAATGCATTCGCAACTAGTCTAGCAAGTGGAATTGGAGGACTTGCCCGTCATCCACTCCAGGGTGCTGAAAAGGAAGGTATTCAAGGATTCTTCAAGGGTGTTGGAAAGGGCGTTTTAGGTTTGGCGACGAAGCCTGCGATAGGAGCCTTTGACCTTGCCTCAAGTAAGTCTATAATTACACTTTCGAAGCAAACCAGGTACTGACCCAAGTTAGATCTGGCTGAGGGCGTGCGAAACACAACAACTGTGTTTGATGCCGAGGGACTCGACCGTGTTCGTCTCACTCGCTTCATCGCCACCGATGGTATCGTGCGGCCCTACTCTCAGCGCGAAGCGTTAGGACAATTCTGGCTCAAGACGGCCGACGATGGAAAGTACTTCAACGAGGATTATATCGCACACCTGGAACTTCCGGGACGGGACATGCTGGTCATGTTGACTTATGATCGGATTATCCTCGTGCGCACCAAGAAGCTGCGGACCGAGTGGGACATGCGGTTGACCGACATCCAAACTATTTCCAAGGAGCGTACGGGTATGAGCATCACTCTCAAGGGTGGTGCGAATGGCCCCTTCATCCCGGTTCAAGATGAGAGCTCCAGAAATTGGCTGTACCGGCAGATAGCAATTGGTGAGTGCACATACGGCCCAGCAACTGCTACATAATAATGCTAACGCCCATTCAGCTGTCAACGCCTTCAACGAGAAATACAATTCTCGCGGCTAAATAAAACACATTTTCTGTTTCTCTTAACGATGTTATGTCGGCTGATGGTTGGGTAAAATTTCCTACAAGGGTTGATTCAAAGTCCGATATGACATGAAATGGATGGTGGAAGGCAGAGGTTGTAATGATAACGCATTGCTATTATTCATCTTTTGGTCTCTTTCCCATGTTACAGCAGATTAAGCGAGAACCGTTCTATTCGCGCAGTCTATCTTTTTTTCATTTCTAATGATGTTTGTTACTGTACATACATGCATTTATCTGATCCGCTACGCTGTGATCAGGTTCTTATGTTAATTTTCTAATCGATTTTATTCATCTGCAAGATACAGCACAGTTGACTGCATTAGCAAGAATATGAAACCGCTTGCATCCCACAACATGACGACAGGCATAGATAGCACAGAAACACAGAACCAACCCCTAGCCGAATTACGCCCATATCCTGCCCATACTTATCACAATAACCACTTCAATTCAATCAATCAATCAATCAAAATGCCCCCCCAACTCAACATCCTGACACGGCAAAACCGGCCAACTCCTTCCCCCCGCATCATCCAACAACGTAACCGTGACCTTTCCCCGACTATCATTCAACTCCTCCACATTCCCATACCAAGATGGATTCAATTGATAAATCTGCTTCACCAATTCCCTGATATTGTATCCATCTGGAGAATCGAACGTCCACCATGCCAGATGGATTGGTTTCACGTCGGTGATTTTGGCCCCGCTGGTCTTGGAGTATTTTGCCAGCCCCTTGAAGAAGGTTATCATGTCGTCGCGGGTCGCTGCTGCCACGAGCCACCGGTGCCAGTCTCCTGCGGAGTTGGATTTGTTGGTTTGGATGAGGTGGGAGTAGTAGGGGCTGTGGTAGTGGTGGTTGTGGTTGTGGTGGTTGGGAGAGGTGGATTGGGTGGGTTGGGTGGAGGTGGGGTCCATGATGTTTTTCTTTTGTCTTTGGATGGGAGGTAGGGGTGTTGAAGGGTGATGCTAGTAGGTTATTTAGAGAGATGTTGTATAGTAGTAGTAGCTTCACGTTGGGGTATGGGCTTGGAGTATGCTGGAGTATAGTAGTAGTAGTATTTGGAAGGGATATAACTCTTAGCAGGGGAGGGTGTCAGATACATGAGTTATATATATCGTTTCTAGGGCGTATATGTACCTTGGGAAGAACCAAAGATTTATTTTTCGCTATTAACGAATGATAGGCTTCAATGTCTTTGGCTTGTGATAGTTGTCACTGAATGATGTATTCATGATAGATTTGCGCTTAGTTCCGAGGGATGATTGTCCGGTGAGTCGACCTGAGCCCGAACGCGGTTGGCGTTCGATATATAACTAATGTGGGATGGTTGGCTACATAATAGTTGTTCACAAGTAGTATTGTTGCTACCATGGCCTTTCTGGTTTATATATGCCTGTAGGTAGTAAGCTTGCATTAATGGTAGCTTGGAAATGGTAGTAATAACTAATTGGGGCAATAACGCATCTTGTTGTTCTGAGTGATTATTACTGCTGATATTCTTCTTCTCTTAGTCTATCTCGTACAGGAAGGTCTGGATAGACTCCTTGTCTTCAATACATTTGAGGGTTGGGCCGTTGTTCTCCCACATGGGACGTAACGCCTTCTCGTTTCCTGAATCCGAGTGAGGAGATGCCAACTACTAGTATATCGAGAAAATCCATGCAAGTGAAGTTCGTATTGAATTCGATGCACGCTATATGTACGTATGTAAATAATACAATAGTGCCAAATTCACCTGTATGCCTGCCACCCAGTCTTTGAACCAAAGCATTGAGATTAAACAAGAAAAGAGATGAGGAGTAACGGTAAAGTAGACGCAAACGGACAGTCACGGTGAATACAAGGGCCGAGAAGGAAATCAAGATGGAGAAAGTGAAACGAGAAGAGACCAGAGCATTTGTTGAGGTGATGGTCATGATCTCAAGACCATCGTATCAATGAGGTAGAAAAAGAGATAGGTTGAAGATGGTATTGGGTTGTTTCTCGATACGAATGACACATGAGGACGAGGAAGGATAAGAGCAAAGAAGGCGGTGCATATCAAAACATTCCTATGATATTGTAGCTGTAACAGGCGATGATCGTAAAAAAAAGGGGAGAATCAGAGGTAAAAGATCGCTTATTCCTGGACGGAATTTCCGCTGGTCACTGTAGGTGGTAGCCGGGCCGTCTGTAGGGCTTCGGGCAATTTCAGCGGCGCCGCGGGAGCTGATTGCAGCTTGTCGAGCTTTTCGCCTCGCAGAACCTTCTCCATCTCCTCCTTTGTCAGTGTCTCGTATTCAATCAAAGCCTTGGTCAAGAGCTCCAGCTCCTCCCGCTTCTCAGTCAGAATGTTGCTAGCACGGGCACGACCCTCCTCGACTAAACGACGGACTTCGGATTCAATCTCCTGCTTCGTTTCCGATGAGAGGCTGTCATAGTTGCTCGACAGGTCAACGTTTCCGAGCTTCTTAGAGTAGCCGAAACGGGTGACCAAGGTAAAGGCGGTTTCAGTGGCTTGTTGAATGTCCTATTACATGTCAGTGACTACGTACTTTGAGCTAACGTGTTAAACGTACCGCAGAGATTCCACTGGTCACCTTGTCGGGGCCGAAAACTAGCTCCTCGGCAGCCTTACCGCCCATGGAGACGTCGATATCCGAAAGGTATTCAGTGTAATTCCTCGAGACCATGTCCATCTCAGGCAGGAAGTGAGTCACACCCAAGGCCATGCCTCGAGGAACAATGGTGATCTTGTACAAAGGCGTAGAGGAAGGGGAGAAGTAAGCAACGAGAGCGTGACCGGCCTCGTGGTAGGCAGTGAGGATTTTGTCCTTGTCCTGAATGATACGGCTGCGAGCCTCAGCACCCATCATGATCTTGTCCTTAGCCCAGTCGAAGTCCTTCGGGCCAACCTTGGTTTGTTTGTTACGGCTCGCATAGATGGCAGCTTGGTTAACAAGGTTCTCCAAATCGGCACCAGAGAAACCGGGGGTACCACGAGCAATGACACCAACATCAACATCCATGCTGACCTGGACCTCCTTCATGTGGTGTCGGAGAATATCCATACGACCACGGACGTCGGGAAGACCAACAGTCACCTTGCGATCAAAGCGACCAGGACGCGTGAGAGCCTTATCCAGAAGTTGGGGGTAGTTGGTTGCGGCGATGATGATCACTCCGCTGCTTTGGGAGAAGCCATCGAGTTCAGTAAGCAGTTGATTCAAGGTTTGCTTCACGTAGGCGGCATCCCTCTCGTTCCTCTTGGCACCAATGGCATCCAACTCATCAATGAAGATGATGGCGGGGGACTTGCTGCGGGCTTGAGTGAACAATTCACGAACGCGCTTGGCGCCGACACCCACGTAGACCTCATCGAATTCAGAGCCAGACATGTAGAAGAAAGGAACACCAGCCTCTCCTGCAACAGCACGAGCCAGCAAAGTCTTTCCGGTACCAGGAGGACCAACCAGGAGAACACCCTTGGGCAGCTTGCCACCAAGCGAGGAGAAGCGATCGGGGTTAGTGAGAAATTCGACGAGTTCCTGAAGTTCTTCCTTGGCTTCATCGCAACCATGCACATCGCTGAAACGGACAGTCTGCTGCTGAGGCTGAGCTTCGCTGTTCTGCGGGCCCCTGATGTTCTTCAGGGCACCAGTCGTTTCAACCAAGATTGTGATCATAACCAGAGACAGATAAGCGAAGAAGGCGAAGTAGAACAGGAACTTGACCCATCTGAAGACAGCACTTCCGGTTGACTCCTCCACAACCACGTGCAGAGGATCTTCCTTGTTTCCAGTGCCAGTCTGCTTGACTGCTGAACCGTAGTGGGTAGAAGAACCGAATTGTCCACCGTGAAACTGGGTTGCGACGGCCTGTCCGATGGCTTGCAGCCGCTCGGGGCTGACGGCCTGGCCGGACGCAGGGACCGCTACCGCAGAATCCACGCCACCAACGCGTTGCAAGGCTTTCATGTAGAGTTCGTCCGTAGCCGCATTCGTGGCAAAATGACCGCTTTTGTACCGTTCAACGACAATGGCAGGGTGGTTTGCACGGAGGAGGGCCTGGTAGAAAGCATTCTGAGCGTTTGCGCTGCTAGGGTTGTTGTTGGCAGTCTTCTCCTTCTGCGCCAACAGATTGTGAGAAGAACCACCAAACAGAAAACGCTGTTGCTGTAACCGGGAGAGACCTTGTACTTGGGGGGCGTGGCGAAGACGGTTGACGGACATGGATATCGTGGAGTAGGAACGAGCAGAGGGAGAGGCAAGATGACGGGTAGCAAGAGACGGCGAGGTCCACATTGTGGTTCCTGGAATGAAGTCAAGTTAGAGCAAGTCTTCCAGGTATAAGAAGAGAAATGTATACCATTGAGCAAGGAGCGAGACCATCCGCTTTGAGCGGTCTTGTTCAAGATGCTTGCCTTCAACGCCTCGGAAGACACAGTAGCCAGGAACTCGGGCAGCTGCACACCACTTGATCCCTATACGTATATCAGCGCACTAGCTCCATCATTATACGGCCGACTAGGGAGACATACCGTGGAGGTTGCTTCCGCAACCGCGCGTTGGGAGGGCTGAGGGGCGGCATATCCGGAGCGGGAGGCGTGTTCGACGTTATTCCGGGGCGCATTAAACAACCGTGTCATTGACGGCCAGAGATCTGAGGTCACGGCCGCAAGACCCTGCCGGAGTGTCAATAGTTAGCGAAGGCAAATTCAAGCGTGGACAGATAGCAAGGCTTACCGGCTTGGGGAAGGGGACTTGGAAGGCCATGGTTGTCCGAACTAAAGCGGCACTTGGCCGCGACGTTGATGATAGTAACCCTTCGGCACGATAGGGAGAGGGTGGGGCACAGTGACGATGACGATGAGATCAATCCTTAATCAAGATACATGCCATCCCCGACCACAACCAGACGACAGATTTGAGATGAGGAGAGGAAAGAAGAGAGGCCAAACCAATGACGATGCTTGGCTGGTCGTTGCTCGGCGGCGAAATTCGACTGCCGACCCGGTGCTCTGCCGGCTGCTGTCGCCCCCCGTAGCCAGAATGACTGCCTATATGCCTCAGGCATGCAACATCGAATTCCACGCCATTCCCCAAACTTCCCCGCCCGCATGGATGCGTTCTAGAAGGCTGCACCACCAGAGCTTCCCGGAATTTTCCCGCTATTGACACGGCCATATATCTGGTATACCTGCGTCATGACTTCTTCAACCGTACTCATGCCATGACGATCATGGCAGCGCACGATCCTCAATCCACTTTCTGGACCGTATACGCAGTACCATACAACATGAGTCGTTGCCTGTTTACAACCCGTGGTTCAGATCGGATGCCGATGACTAGAACATCATCATAGAGTCAAGCTCAAAGGTGCATCCTCTTTGTCACAAACTATCTATATAACGGGACACGCCCTTCAGACGCGTTCACAACGCAGCTGCGGATTAGATACTTTAATGCTCCTTCCTCTCTTGGCACCTTTGAATCAATCTCTATCTTTGACCTCACCGATCTGGACGGATCTCCGCAACGAATTTGACATTGATAAGTTGGAGAGAGCAGCGACCGGTATTCTAATTAATATGACCGTGGCATGAAACCAGCTATACGACACATATGATGTCGAAACGGACCATCTTCCTCATGGGTGCGCCCACGTTGCGGAATCTCCAGTGGAATGAAGACGAGCTGCTGAACGCACCGATATCTCCATTTCATAGTCTGGATACGCAAGACGTAGGCCATTGGCCTTTCCCCGATGGTCAGCCCGTGAAATGGAGACTATTGCAGGATCTGCGCAATCGAGGGCCTCTCCCAGAAATCTACAGGTGGGAGCCAGGTCAAGATGCTCGCTTCTTTACTATACGGGACATTGCAGGCTCTGATGGGACATCGCGGACAAAGCCGGACGATTCAGTGCTCTCGCAGTTCTACAACCATTCATTTACCGTTCATGAAACCTCGGAGATCTCGACTCCGGGGTTTCACTCTGGAGATTCCATGCGCAGTAGTGGTTTATCGGCCGGGACTTCTTTTGCGACAAGCAGCGAGAAGGACGGGCCAACACCAGGGTTACCGATCCAAGGGCCGCTCACCGACCTCCGGGATATCCCCACTGCGGCGTATCTGAATTCGATCGTGCCGCAGACGATGACGGTGAATCTGATTGTGGCGATTATCGCCATCCACCCTCCACGGCGGGTGGTAACGCGGCAATGGAAGCAAGAGCTGGATCTGGTTGAGATGGTGGTTGGGGATGATACAAGAAGTGGGTTTGGGGTTACGTTCTGGCTTCCTCCTGTGAATCATGCGGTCATGGCTGGGGAAGGTGACGACGAAGGAGAGGCGTTGGGGGAGTCGCTGGCAACGCTGCGTCCACGGGACATTGTTCTGATGCGGATGGTAGGACTGAGCTCCTTCCGGGAACGGGTATACGGGCAGAGTTTGAGGAAAGGGGTCACGAAGGTTAACCTGCTGCACCGCCAGCGGGTCGACGTAACCGAAGCAGGCGGGCTCTACAGTGCGAAGCAACTCCGGGATATTCAACAAGACCCTGCAGCCAAGCGTGAGGAAGATCTGCCGCTGATGAAGGTGAGCAAGGTGCGCGAGTGGATCAGGAGATTTGTGTTCGATCCGGTAGGCGGTGACGGGGGCCGGGGAACTTTTACACGTGGCTTGGCTGGAAAGGGCCATTCACTGCCCCCAGACACGCAGGAGTGAGCAGACAGGCAGGCAGAGAGTGATGATTTATATATAGAAATGGCCTGGAGTAAGGTCTGCTGCCTACTGCTTTATACATGGGCTGGGAACTAAGATTCTTCCCTAATATATCTAATTTCTCGATTCATTATGTTCCTTGTTTAACCTGCAATTCTGAGGCGCTCCTGAAACCTGCCACCAGCCTTAATGAACCCGTGACTACAACTGGGGGATGTTAGGAAAGGGCGGCAACAAAGAAAACCGGATGATCAGGAGACACGGATGGAATTGATGCTTATTCCTCCTGCATACATTCTGGGTAACCCGCTAAGGTAGGTACTACGTTGTGTGCTAAAATGAAGAGGGAATGCAACCCGACAGTTTGAACGCCATCGGTGGCCAAGTTACTACCAAGTATGAGGCCACCCTTTCATTGGATAATGTGATGGCACTAGGTAGTTCTGGATGGGTTACTAGTAGTCTTTTTATTCTTTCTTGCTTTTTTTTTTGCCTTTTCCCATCGACGATAAAATTTACAAAGGGGGATATGCACGTACTGCGTCAATCGTGCGTGCATCAGCTGTAATGTAAGTCTACTTAATAATATTATCATGATCATGATCATGATATGCGAGATTTCGTAACCTGAAGCAAGAATGGCATAATATCACCAACCTCATAACTGATCATAATCTAAAAAAGTTCAATAATAATTAGTTGAAATAAATGTAATTAAGATGAAGACTACAATATTTTATGGAGCTGTAAAGATAATTCAGGGGGCACTGTTGCCCCACTGGGGGCACCTGAACCCGCCGCAGTGATTAGTTGGTTCTAGGCCGTACGATACCCGACTATACCCTAAACGGCAGAACCTGCTGGGCGAAGTGGCGCTGCCGCAAACGTGCGCAGGTTGAACCCGGTGTTCCTGGCGAGTACCAGTGAGTGCAGTGCCAGTGAGTGCCATCTTCAAGTCACAAGGCTGTAACTCTGCTACACACTGGCCGGTTTAAGGGGTCTTGCCAGTGACCTCTTTTTTTTGACTTGCCCATAACTTACCGGCCCGTACATACACAGCCATTACGGCCCGCTCTCCCCGAATCGCAACGCCAGGTGGTCTCCTCTTTCTCTTTCTGCCTTCCTCTCCTCTCCTTCTCCTCCTCGTTCTTATATTATATCCCGACCGTTCTTTTTCCTCCTTTCCTTTCCTTTCTCTTCCCCGTCTGTGACCATCCGCTTCAAATCAATCAATCGATCAATCTAATCTCTCCAACGTCCCCATCTTTGGATCGTTGGAACAACTGCTCCCTCCTCTTCCATACACTCTCTCCACCTTTCCTTACTTAACCCCCCTCTTCCGTCGGCGGGCTTTTGTTCCACCTGTTCAACTCGTTCTTTGCTCCGGTCATTCGTTTGGAGCGAGCCTCCCGATCGCTACTCTACCCTACAATTAATACCTCCCTACAGCAACCATGAAGGGTATGTACCAGTCTACCTAATTGTTCCTTCGGACTCGCTGACTTTTGACTATCTAGCCCTCATTCTCGTTGGCGGTTTCGGTACCCGTCTGCGTCCTCTGGTGAGTTGATCACCCCCGCCGACGATCGTGACGTCGAACATGCCAGTCGATTCATGGACGGCCCGTGGGAAAGCGCACACAAGCTAACCGTTCTCAATGCTGCCTAGACCCTGACCCTCCCTAAGCCTTTGGTCGAATTCGCCAACCGGCCCATGATCCTGCACCAGGTTGAGAGCTTGGCTGCTGCTGGTGTCACAGATATCGTCCTGGCCGTCAACTACCGCCCCGATGTTATGGTGTCGACCCTGAAGAAGGTACAATTGCCCTAGCTGCACGGATTGCCGTCCGCGAATGCTCACAGCCGCCCCTAGTACGAAGAAATCTACAATGTCAGAATCGAATTCTCTGTGGAATCCGAACCCCTCGGCACGGCTGGTCCCCTGAAGTTGGCGGAGAAGATTCTGGGCAAGGACGACAGCCCGTTTTTCGTCCTGAACTCCGATATTATCTGTGACTACCCCTTCAAGGAGCTGGCCGAGTTCCACAAGAACCACGGCAACGAGGGTACCATTGTGGTCACCAAGGTCGACGAGCCCTCCAAGTACGGTGTCGTCGTCCACAAGCCCAACCACCCCTCGCGCATCGACCGCTTCGTCGAGAAGCCCGTTGAGTTCGTCGGCAACCGTATCAACGCCGGTATCTACATCCTGAACCCCAGCGTGCTGAACCGTATCGAGCTGCGCCCCACCTCCATCGAGCAGGAGACCTTCCCCGCTATTGTCAAGGACGGCCAGCTGCATTCCTTCGACCTGGAGGGCTTCTGGATGGACGTTGGTCAGCCCAAGGATTTCCTGAGCGGTACCTGCCTCTACCTCACCTCCCTTGCCAAGCGCAACTCGAAGCTGCTCGCCCCCAACAGCGAGCCTTACGTGTATGGCGGCAATGTCATGGTCGACCCCTCCGCCAAGATCGGCAAGAACTGCCGCATCGGCCCCAACGTGGTGATTGGACCCAATGTGGTGGTTGGTGACGGTGTGCGTCTGCAGCGCTGTGTCCTGATGGAGAACAGCAAGGTCAAGGACCACGCGTGGGTCAAGTCGACCATTGTTGGATGGAACAGCTCCGTGGGCCGCTGGGCTCGTCTGGAGAACGTTACGGTGCTGGGTGACGATGTCACCATCGCCGACGAAGTCTATGTCAACGGTGGTTCCATCTTGCCCCACAAGAGCATCAAGCAGAACGTTGATGGTGAGTGAATTGTCTACATTCACATGGCTCATTGCTAATTTAACTCTTTAGTTCCTGCTATCATCATGTAATCCTTTTGTCACGTCGACATGCCCTTCACCTTCGATATACACCACCTACACTGAAGTCACCAGATGCATAGAAACCGGAGTTGATCGTGTCTTTCTCTTTCGAGCAGTGTAGAACCCAGAGGGGGTTCTAGACAACAGGACGCTGCTTGGATACAATGCGGTCTACGCCTCTGAACCATCTCCCACTCGCACCCGTCCATTCTTACCTTCGTCTTGTGCTCGTCCGTGTCCGCATGCTAGAGGCCTTGATGGTAGAAGCGTGTCTGATTCGGGTCATCCTTACATCCCTTATAATCAATCCTGAGGTCTCTGATCTCTTACCTTGTTCTCCCGCATCTTTCTCCGACGGACTGCGTGTCACCAGTGCTGTTGCTTCTTTTATTTACCGGCTTTTTCTTCTGCTACCTTGTTTCCCCGGGGGATGGTGAGCACATGGACTAATACTCTATTTGATTTTAATGACGTATGTGGACATGGTTAAAGGAATGTAAATACGGGAGGCAGGATCAGAAAAACAATCTTATTATCTCTATTACTCTATTCTTCTATTATAGATGCAGTATACAGATGCAGATGCAGTATGCAATATGCCCGAACCCAAGCACCACCCTTTCCCACAAATCTAAGCAGTAGCAGCCTCCTCCCTCTCCAAAATCTCCTCCCACTGCAGCCTTAGCTCCTCCATCCCCTGCCAACACTTCCTCCCCAACTCCTCAAACTCGACCTTATCCTCCGCCGTCAAATCCCTCGCTCCACGCTTCCTCCTCCGACACCGATCCTCCATCACCACCGCCTCCCCAACCACACCCCCATGACCCCAACCATCCACCTCCGTTGAAACCGCCGTATCCCTCCCCAACCGATCACACGAAGACCCCCATTTCACCTTCCCGCCCCCATGAGCCCGATACACCTCCTCCGCAGCATCCAGCTCCTCCTGCCGACTAATAGCCAACCACGTCGGCGCACACGCCCCCGCATACGTCGACAGCGTATGCCACGGCGACCCCAGCAACCGGGCAATATAAAACGACGCGATCATGCACCAGAACAGCGGTAACGCCAACGGGAGGATGCCCGTTCCACACACGCCAGGATGCGAGAGATACATGCGTGGCTCCTTGCCCTCCCTTTCACCACCCTTCTCATCCACACCTTTATCAGAGGATGTATAAAACCCCTCCACCCACTTCCTCGTAGAGGGCGTCTCCGCCGTGAGGGCAAGAATATCCGTAAGCGTCTTCGAACTCTCATACGGCACAGTCGACCTCAATCCCTGAATATCCTCCACATTAAAATGATTCACGGTGGCCTCGATACTCGAGACCCAGATGACGCGGCCCGGCTGGGTGGATTTCCGGAGTAGGCCCATGACGCCATGCGAGAGCATGTAGTGACCGAATACGTTCGCCGCGAAGACGCTACCTAGTCGGGGCTCATCCGGTAACGTGGTTTGAGGCGGGGTGATCACCCCCACGGGCGCGATCTTGTGCGCGAACCATGAGACGTTGTGCACGAGGTCGGTCAGAGTCCCCCAGATTGCGCGCGGCCAGTCGATTCCTGTCCATCCGCCGATGCCGGCGTTGAGGACGATGGAGTCGAGTTTTGGGAGGGTTTGGGTGAGGCGGGTGGAGAGGGCGCGGACGGAGGGGAGAGAGGACAGGTCCACGGTTTCGGGGTGGAGGGTTATTCTGCTGGATGTGGTGGGGGAGGAGATGGGGGGGAGGAGGGTTTGGAGGTGGTGGAGGGTTGAGGAGGCTTTTTTGGCGCTTCGGGTCGTGAAGATTATGGTTAGGTGGGTGGTGGGTGGGTGGGTTGTGAGGAAGGTGGTTATTAGGCGTGCGCAGATGGCGAGGCCGAGGCCGCTGGTGGAATTGGCTTGTTAGATTGATTGTTTGTGAGGTTGGTTGGGGGGGAGGTTTGAAGGGGTGTGCTGGTGGGTGGTGTTGTAGGGTTGGGAGGGGTGCAATTGAGGGATGGGTACCTGTTTGCGCCGGTCACTAGGACGTAGATTTGGTTGTCTAGGTCATTCTGTGGTGGCTCGGCCATTGTGATGGGCCCAGTTTTGGTGGGTTGGACGGAATTGGGCCGGGTGGAAGGTAAAGCTGGTGCTGGATAGTTGAGGATTAATTGGGGATTGTATAAATCTCCGATAAGGGGTGATTACATAAGGGGTTGATAGG